TTTCCCGAGTTTGCTATTTTAAAAATACGGTATTCTTCCACATGTGTCTTTCAACTCTTCTGACTAACTTAATAATCTTTCCTTGTATAAACAAGCAGTCTCCCATTCTTCAAGCTATGTATTACAGAATAAACAACACCCGGCCACAATCTCCACAGCGCAAGGCTTCGATCCGGAGAACCACGTCGTTGCGTTGTTGTACCGAGATCAGAAATCCCCCTCGGAGCTTGCTGCGTGCATCCCAATCTTGTAGACGATGTCGAGGGTTGAGGAAGGAAGATTTATGTCTCTCCTTGAGAAGGTGCTGGCCATGGGGTAACTGGGGGTCGGAACCTCAGGGCCGGGGGTCCGGACCGGCCACGACCCCCGCTATAGAAGCTGGCGGTCCCCCTGCCCTCGCCTCTTCGCTCTTGATGTAGACTGGCGTAGCAACGCGGCAGAGACGAGAATAATCAATCGTCACACTTTGTTCCCTGGAATTATCCCCCTTCCTGTCGGGTGAGGGGCTATTCATAAGGGTTCGGCCTGGGCAATACATCTAGACCTGACGCATACCCTGTACAAGAGGCCAACGCGCGGGGAAGCATTTTACAGGGCAGACGTTGTTCTTCCCTGTCGTAGGCAACCTGTTAAAATGTAATGAGCCCATAAAATAAAATGCTCCAGTCGAGAGAAAAAGCTGTTTCATTCGTTTAACAAATTGTACCTACTTTATGTATTCTTTCTTGCTTTGTATCGGCATTTAGAATTTAAATTTCTGTCTAATTTTTCTTTAGCACATGCAACCTATACCACTGATTAAGAAACTGCAATTTAAAAAAGAACAACAACAAATTTTGGGATTAGATATAGTATATTTTAGCAGCTGGTCAACGCTACACTTTGTTGTTGTTGTTGTTGTTGTTGTTGTTGTTGTTATTGTTGTTTGTTTTTACTTTTATAACCGCTTCACAACCAGAGTATTGACCGAGCGCTGATGGCCCGATCCTCTAAAATAGTCTCTTGTCAGAACCGAACCTTTGTCGTCCCATGTCTTTTTTGGTCTTTCTGTCTCTGCGTCGGTGTGTCGGAGAGCTAGTTCTTTGGCCGTCCGACCACCTGTCTGCCTATCTCTCAGTTAGCCCCTGCGTGTAGTTTTGATCTGGCTGTGTTCACCGTGATTCATTCTCTTCAAAGACGGTTTGTTGGGGGAGCAAGGAAGGAATGAAAAAGAAAACTGAAATGTACACAAAGTAAGGGAAGAAAAGAGGGGGTCAGAATGAACTAAGAAGTTTAGAAGAGTAAAGGAGGAACGATACATGAAGATTAATAGTTTGATACACGTTAAGAGCATGAGTCAGAATAAATGAACATGATAACAACAATGGTAGTGGTAGTTTAGTAGAAAACAGTTGGTAGGGGGGGGGGTAACTGTTTAATAAAAGGGTGCATGAATGTACCAGGAAAAACAAATCCCTTTCCCTGAAAAAAGGGGAAAAGGGAAAAATGAAAAGTGACTTTATATAAGATCATTTTACTTCCATTTTTTTCGATCCAGCAGCCACTGAGTTCTAGCTCTCCGGCCTGATAAGATCAACAAAACGTACACTTATCTTTCGGTTCTGGCAACGTGTGGCTATACTGCAGTTTACACGTCCAGCGAGAATATTTGCGACCGACGTGATGAGGGTTGAGGGAGGCCATCACTGGAGCTCTGCAAAATTCCCCTCTTGGACCCACGGCCAGCTTCAGGCTAGTAGCCAAGGCTGTGCCGGGTAATTCCCGCTTCGTTAGTCTTCACTATGAATAATGTTTGGTCAGTACTTTATGGGTTTTGATCGAGACCGGAGCTCAGGTCCAGAGTGTGTGGCCACGGACTCCACTCGCCTATTTACATAATGTTGTGTTCCACGTCCAACTTCTCTATGAATCGAGTCTGTAATTTTTCTTCTTCTGATCTCTCTAGGGTGGTTTGCCTGTTTTTCTTTGCGAACGGTTGTAGGGTACACCTTGTCCAAACCCTTCTTCGTTTTTGTCTAGTTATTTTGCTGTGCTTTGTTTTTCTATGTGTCACCAAGCTCATTGTTTTTATTCCCCCGAACACTCAATGACCAATTTGTTGTCGCGGGGTTCTCTTAATTTTTAAATCACGCTGCCCATTTCGTGGTATTCCAAATCGGGCCGTCAATACTCTCGAAATCTGACTAATAGTGCGATAAAGAGATATGATGAAATATGGGAAATATAGAAGAGGTGGTGGGGGATAGGGGTGGGAAAGATGTCGATAGAAAGATAGTGAGATAGAGATAAAGAGAATACCAATTGGATGCAAATCAATGAAGGAAGGAAGCAGTTTTCGCCCTTTCGTTTGTGATAGGGCCATGCATCACTAAACGGAACGAGGTGATACAAGGGGAAAAAAGACTGGGAAAGCGCAATATTATCACAAAAACAATTTTGTTTTTGCTTTGATTTGGTTTCTCTATTTGCGCTGTCGGGCAGTGAATGGGGCGTGACGTTGCTCTTACAGTATTTGAATAATTGATATTATCAGTTGTCTTTCTATAGCCGTTAACCCCCAATTTTATCGATTTCTTCCCTTTTGTTTAAATAATCGTCGCTGATGCCGCTTCCCCTTTTGATTCGGAACAAGTGCCACCCCGTTACAGGTTCAAATCATGGCCTATTACTGTCCGTGTTGTTCCTAGATTTAAATTAGACAAAAGTGTTTCTGATTACGTCACAGTCGGTGGAGGTGAGTGCAGTAGGTGACGTGGCAGGAACACAAAAAGGACAACGGCCAAGAATAAAATAACAAGAATAGAAATATCGACTATGTCGGCTCTTTGAAGAGAGTAAAATGTATAAAACAGATGATGTTGATGGATTTATGCATGTGGTGGATGGATGGGTTTGTTGGAAGGATAGACGGATGGGTGAAAAGGAGGATAAATGGATAGCTATATCGATGAATAGACTAATGTTTGAAAGGGAAACAACATTACAAGAAAGAAAAAAGGAGAAAAACAAAACGAAACAAAACAAGACAAAAGAACGTTAATGATGAAATAGATTTCTCACTTAACCAACTGGGGTCTTTCCATTTCTAGAATCTCAGACGATCAGAACGCATGATATCGGAGCGAATGGAACTTTTTTTGTGACAGCTCGACTAGACCCATACATTTCAGGCAGATTTTTTTCTTTTTTGTGTACTCAAGTTTGTTCAAACCCAATTCTTTTGCATTCCAAATCAGTCGTGCTACTACCATTCCATGGGTCATGCTGATAGCAACGGCAAAAAAAAGAGAGGAGGAAGGGGGGTGGGGGGTTGGGCATATGAAACGAGAGAAGAAGAAAGAGATAGAAAAAAAGGAAGGGGGAGGAGAGGGATGCGCCTCTTCGTCATCCTTTCGTGTCATCTGAGGGCTTAGGACCGGGGCGACTGGGGGGAAATTAGATTTGTGTGGGAGACACGGACAGGGAAGCCAGTGACAACGTGGTTATAGGGCGCCGCTCAATCATACACCCACATCATTATCGGCTGTCCCTGCCTGACCGGCCTCACCACTTCTCCTCCTCCGCCCCCTTTACCCTGGGCAAGTACCTTCACTGTCCTCTTTCTCTCTTTCTTTCTTTCAGTCTGTTTCACCCTCTCACCCTTATCCTGCTCTCTCTGTTTCTCA